TCTCTATTAAAAAAGAAGCAATTAATGATAGCCTTCTAAAGTAAAACAAAATTAACTTTCCCATATCTTTAAACTCCTTTCTCAATATATTTGTTTCTTGCCAGTTTTAATGGGAGAAGGTGAAAAATGGCACTCAGCACTGGATCTGCCAGAACTTTACAATTCATGACACAGCATTTAATGGGAGAGTAGAAGAGAGTATATTTGAGTAATATAACTTTAAAAATGGGCTAAGAGTGGAATAGACAAATTTATATTGTGAAATAAAAATAACTTTTAATTCCTATCAACTTCTGAGTTTAAATTTTATGTAGTTTTGAAAAACAATTCTACACGTCAATCCTTGCTTCCCCCAGTATTCATATCCCATACTGAGCCTCCTGTCTTTTACAGAAAAGCAAGGGTTTTCCTGATTCCAAATGCCTTTCAGTTTGTCTTAGGAAGACTTTAAAACACAAAACTGATTTTGGCAGAAATCTTTTTATATTTTATAAAATGGAGACCTGCAAGTAAATTCAATTTGTGGTCAAAAGAGACACAATGTTTCCTTCAAATGCATGGTGGGATAGCTCAAAGTGCCTGTAAAATGTGCTCACTGATGCAAATGCTTAAAACATTATCTACTGCCAGTAGCTGCACCACTGGCAGTAGACTACAAGTGCAGAAAATGTCTATCTACTATAGCAGAAAACTGACACTTTATAACTGAGCAGAAAAAGCCTAGCAAAAGGAACAGAATAATTTTTAATATATATAACAGTAAAAATCAAGTTTTAGACAAAAAATTTCATCTACTATAAAATCTTGTCTTACTAAGAGCACACAAAATAGGAGCTATCTAAAGATAGATTTAAGTTACTGTGTCCTCAGTCTGTGGCATGAATTTCTAAAGAGGTTTTTGTACTGGGTAATCTTTGTACTATTAACAATACTATGCATATTTTATCACCATTTCCCTTTTGACAGAACTAGGACTCCACAAACACAGAAATCTGGAAGCAGAGTGTAAGTGTTTTAAAGCAAACATCTAAAATATAAATCTAAAACACTACAATTGGTTTCACCATTACTGACCTTGTGTTACATAAGGAGGTTATTCTGGATTTTCTTTCTGGTATTATCTAGTATTGCAACAAGAAACCAAAATTTTAAGGCTCCTGGAAGCAAATAAAAGTCTGTCATGAACCACATTTTCTGCTTTGAACTGCTAATAAGGCATGTAGGGAGCATGACCAAATTCTGACTACACACTGTACCCTTGCTATGAGACCAGAGAGTTTTACTATTCATAATTCCACTTTTTAGTTAATTTAAGTCACATACAATTAAATATTTTTTTTAAGACCATTACCCTTCATTATTTTGAAGTTAGTGATGTCACATTTCTGGCATCAGGATTTTCTGCATGTAAGTTTAGGTGCTCCAACACCATGAAAGTCTGTGACACTTGAGTTTTAAGTCCATTTAGTGACCTTTAGAAAAAAGAGATCTAAAGGCAATTTTAAAAAATTAAAATAAATTAAAAACCCCAACACCCTGGTCCATTCAGATTGCTGATATAAAGGGAGAAATTAAGTAACAACCCAAGAAACAATCCCATCCTTGTGAAAAATTGTTAAATCCAATGTATGCAATTATCAGGGTAAATGGTGAGCTATATTTCTGGAGCCAAGGCTAACCAATAATTAGATTAATATTGTATAAAGTGACCCCTTGCTATTTATAAGTGATTTGACAAGTACTGTAGCAGGCATTTTACACATGTGTCTGGGTGGGTCATTCTCTTCTCACTCAGAGTATTTATGCCTATTAGGTACTGCAACCTAAGTGTGTTGCAGGACTAAACTTTATGTCTTAATACCCCAAAATGCTGCACATACAAAAGCTGCTGTTAGTTTAAGAGAAATAAAATTTTCAGAAACAGCTATTTTTCTTCTCTTAAAAGCAAGCCCACAAGGAAATGCTTTTAAGATGTGTCACGCTAGATATTTTCTTTGTAGACCTTGTTAATCTTCAGTCAAATAAGTATTTGCTTATATTATTAAACATCAATTAAAAAATGTATTGCAGTAAAATTTATTGAAACACACAGCTGCCAAATAAATATGGAAATCGTGACTGAAGTATCTTACAATATGAGAAGAAAAAAATTAATCAAGTAACTTTTTTTATAAATTGTACATACATACACAAAATAAAAAGTTGAGACCAATAAATAATAACACCAAAAAGAATATTGCTCATTTATAATATCTACTGAGATAGTTTTACATATTTCTTGTTTGTAAAAAAACTGTTGAGGCTCCTACACTTAAAATTAGACTTACTATATCAGTTTTGTTTGTGTTCTTGGCTGCGACATCCTTGGCTGTGCAGCCCCTACACTGCACTCTCGTGTGCTGGTGTGGTAATGCAATAGCTGGCTACTACTTGTTTTAATAGTGTGCTATCTCTTCTCTACAGACACACACCATGGGAAAGGAGTGACATAGAAGTTACCAGCATGGGAGAGAACTCCTTCAACATAATTTTTTTGCTGCTGGAGGATTCAGCAAGAAAAAAATGATTAACACACCTGCAAGTGTTCTTTTCTGAACTGGCACTACTAAATATTCATTTTGCAAATGAAACTGACTGAAGAGAAAGTAGTCAGACAAGCTGTTACTATCACATTATGGTTCAACAATTATTATTCATAGAATAATAATAAAACATTTTAAGTGGAAAGAACCTACTGTAACTCCTCATGCAATTCCATGTCTTGGCTGTAACAGGAATTGAGATACCCAATTCCTTCAAAACAATAAGTGTTTCTTGGCTTTATCAGACCTCTGCTTATCCTACCTATAATGACTGTGACCATATTGGTGCACTTCTGGACCAAATCTAGTGAGCTGTTGACATGGTGGTGATTGGTGAAAGGTTGGACTCAATAATCTTGGGTGTTTTTTCCAGCCCTAAGGATTCTGTGATTCTAACTGCACAGTACCCTACTGTCATCACCTCAGTCCTGCCATCACCTCAATCCTGCAGATGTTTCCAAATTTATAATCAGTTGTACTTATGCTTTTTAGGCAGCGCCAGGAATCTTAAAATAATTTTTAAACATTTGAATAATGTGCTATCTCTACTGCTATGCTAAAAATCAACATTTAGAAACCCTGGGAAAAATTGTTTAGCTAATTTTTGATTATGCAATTGTGATGCTTATTTGCAAGTATTATGTTAGTAAAAAAAATGTATTGAGGAAAAGAGGAAAGGGATTGATAGAGGATCATCTAAAAAAGCTATAAAACAGCTATAATCCAAAACAATGTCTAACAATGGAAAAACTCTGGCTGCAGTCCTTTCTGCAATGTCACTAATGGTTGCTGTGGAAATAACTGTCATTAATCCAAAACTGAAAGCAGGGAGCATCTGGGAACTCACAGCTCAGTCTGCAGCATCTCTAGCGTTAAATTTCTAATGTAAAAATTTCTCACCCATACATCATATTCTCTCAATCCTTTTCTGCCTCCCACCCGGCTGCACCTCCACCCACCCTACTTCAAGGCTGTACTGTTTGTGCAAGGTAATGTTCATCGCTGCATATAGTAAAATGATTCTACCTTCTGTTACCCAACAGTTCTTCTTTTTCAATCCATATCATTAATAGTTAGTCACAGAGCTATTATTCATTCTTTGAACTGCTAAAATGAGATATCACTGATAGGTTTATATCCTTAGCAACTGCACATAATATGGAGAACTGTATTTTGCTCAGCCATATCATCACATGTTCCTATTTCTGCTTGCAAACAGATTTTTGTTGTTGTTAAAGAACGGGTGTCAACAAGAGGCTTCAACAGGGTATTTCATACCAGCTAATATGTACAGCATGTCTTTACCACCCCAGCAATGTCACTAGTTTGAGTGACTACAGTCTTTCAGCCCAAAAGTATTTCTCTACCAGCTAGTACTTATTAACCCTTGGTTCTACTGTAAAAATATACATAAGTACATATATATACTAAATACATATATGGATTTCTCTTAAATAATTCTGCCTCCTTATATGTAGAAGTAAGGCAGATATGTTAAATTGACTAAAATATTTGATTGCATAGTGATAATTACACCTGTAAAAATAGATGCTTATTTTAAAATGTTATATTTACTATATTTTACTTTAACTATTTACTATATATTCCTTCATTTTATTCCATATGCACAATAGGGAATACACCAAATAGAAGAGATAAAATTGTGACATTCTTTAAAGAAAATATAATTGTTTAAATAGTCATAATCAGGTTTATTATGTACTAGGACAGAAAATACAGGATATGCAAGAACTTTAAAAAATAACATATCTAAATTTAAATACACATTTGCATTAACATACTTTTCTATTATAAAGGAAGAGGATTTGGAAGACTTCCTTCTGTTATAATAAACATGAAGGAAATTCAGTAGTGAGTTGGTCTTTCAACATAGACCCAAACTGGACAGATCCTCGTCATATATAATTTATCCCTTTTCTAAGACGGGAACAATGTTCATGAATAAGGAAAGTCGTAAGGTCAGAGAATTCTACAGTGGCACGACTACTTAAAAGCTGATATCTCCATTTAAGTAAATTCTCCATGTGATAAGGAAGATTTGTCCACTGTTCAAATCTCGTGTCTTGTTTCTGGATACTTTTTGGACAGAACTGACCGTGGATTTCTTGCAATTCTACATTCCTTTTAGGTCAACCATGCTTCAGAAGCACCACAAGGAATCCAAACTCCACAAACTTAATACAACTATTCCCCCCTTACAAGGGAGACTTTTGTTCATGTGATGCTAGAGTAACATTGTGTTCCATACACAAACCTAGCTGGTATGGTCTGCTTTCCATTTCCATATATGCGACCATGTTAAAAAACAAACAAACAAAAAAAACAAGCCCAACAAAGCTTTAAAAAATCATATGTGGCATTATTTATTACAAAATTTTGTTCCATTTGTCCCTCTTTTTGTTTTTCTTTTGCCAAACCCTCACTTTCTTAAACATTTCCTAAAGAAAATCAGAGCCATTACATTTCACAGTCAAAAATACTTTACCTGAAAAACAAAGAGACAGAATGACTTGAGTTTTGAATGAAGGATATGAGAACTACAAGATTCAGGCTTCAAAGACAGCCAGAAAAGTCCATTACCCTTTTCTCAGAGGATATTATCGACTCAGACAGCACATGGTGGTTTTCTGTAGGCCTAAGTCTTCTGAAGGAAGGCAGAAATAGGGCAGCAGATGAGGTAGTGTTTCTTGAGGAGCATAGGATAAAGTCAAGTCAGGGTTCTGAAGGGATACCATTAATAGCAAAATGGGACAAAGATATGTGGGGAAGTACTTAACACTTAAACTAGAGTACATCTGTCTATATTTTTTTAAAACAAAGAAGATTAAATTACAGAGAGGAAAAATTAAATAAATACCACTACCATATTACATGCCACCCCTACTCTTCAGGTATATATGCACCTGCTATGCCAAGATCTTCAAAACAGTGTCTCTTCAGTAGCTCTCCCCTGAAAAGAAGTATTTTTGTTTTGGCCTTGAGAGGTGGAGGATTTCTTGTAATATCTCCAGCTGAATTTGTCTGTTTAACATAGATATGTGTATATATATCATGCATATATTCACACAGTTGCACATACAGTCATGAATCTTTCCATTTCTTCTTCCTATTGAAAATGCTACAAAAGTCTATCTTGTCAGTTATCTTTACTGAAAATAGAAAAGGATTGTTTTTATTAGCAAATACTTTATTGTTATAATTGTGGTTATCCATTCCTTTAGTTAGTTGCTATTACCAATGGAGATTTTTCTCAGTCTTTCCCCAGTGACGCCCTATTTGTCACTATTCCGGGCATTAATCCAAGTCCAAAGATAGGAATGAAAATTATAGGCTCTTCCTACATAGCTTTCCTTTTTAGCAACTTCATGCAGGCTCTACATTAGCAACTTCTAACTTCTCTCAGATTTCTTCCTACATAAGTCATTCTCCAAATTGATCAAAAGTGGAAAAAAATCAGCTCAAAGCTCAAAGGAATATTATGCTTCAACTTCTTACTGAAAATACTTATTTTTCCTTTTTCTTCCAAATTCATATAAAGGTAGTAGATTTGGGGGGGAGCAGGGGGTTTGGTTTGTATCCTTGAAGCATTTTCTATAACACATACTACATTAATATCTGAGATAAAATATTAATGGATTTTTCTTCGCAGTAGTTTCATAAAATTGAAAATATTGTTGCCCTCACTTTAGCAGTAGAGAACTCATGAACAGATAGTGAACTGCATGAGCAACATCATAAGAAAAGTATATGCTGAAATCAGGAATACATTTCTGAAAATACAATCCTTTTAATTCGTAATTCTTGTCATTGTTTTGGAAAATATTGCTATGTATTTTTACTGTTGTTTCATGATGTTTATTAAATGGAGTGTTGAATGCAACTTTTTTATTTGATCTAATTCATCACACCATATTAAGGGATAGAAGCTCAGTTATGGGTCATGATTTATTCTGCCAAGTGTTAACAAACAAACAAGTTGGAAAAGCTAATAATAATATGTATTAAGTAACCAATAAAAAATAGATAACCAAATTTTATTCACTCCTAGTCTGAATTATTTGACGGCAAGTCTATTTTGAAGCAGGAGACAGAACCAAGGTGTCACTGTAACCATCTGTCATATATGCTTTGACAAAGAGGAGAGATTTGTAAGGTACATCTACATCCTACTGCTAATGGAAAAATCTCTGTATGTTATATGGAGCCCCTACATACCAGTAGAAGTACGTTGGACCAAACATTGATCTCTATACGTTTACCAAATCCCTTGGTTTATATCAAGTAGATACTTAAAAGGAGATCTACTATTTTACTGAACTTCAAAGGAAAGTACATTTGCATGTAGCTCTTCAACCTCTAAAGTAAAATCAACAGCTCCTGCCAGATACTTCTTGGCTGCATTTCACAATGTAATGTTTTCATTTAGGATTAAAATTAGCAATCAGATATGATTACAAAGTGAATAGTGATTGGGAAGCACTTAATCACCTAACTAAGAAAAAACATTAGGATTGGCAAATCAGAAAATGCTTCTGAAAGAAAAATAGAAGAGGTTGCAAATGCAGTCAAAAGAGAAGCTAAATGGCAGGGAAGTCATTAGCAAAATAATACTTGATAAGCCTGATTCCCTTCTACTTGTTTTTGCCCAACCATTTAAAAATTATCCCTTCTCACAGTCCTTTCTATCTTTCCCCCTCTTTCTTCCTTCCCCTGGCTAGTCTTTTTGGTGGAAGAAAAACTACTGTTCTTCTACTCCTTTTCAAAAGAAATCAGTCTTTCCCTTACTAACGGGTTCCAAACTTGCATTACTGCAGAACCAGCCACAGGATATGTACAAACAACTATGTCACACCTACAAATAACAAAAAAACACAAGAAGCACATCAAACTAATCCATTACATCCTGCAGGTATATGGAATTGATTAGCTTTTCTGCTACATTTGTACAATACCTTTGAGAATTTAGGAATTTCACTACTGACTGCTCTTTGCCCAAGATTTCTTCATTAATACTGTTTATATAAATAATATTTTAAAATAATGAACAAGCAAGAACTTATGGGGAGTTCATAGTTTCCAAAAGGATAGCAAAAATATTCTGCCCCTTGGTACATAATAAATAAACTATAATCAGTTTACTACTTGTAACATTTTACACCATAAAAAAGTTAAATACTTACGTCATTCAAACACCAACTTCATTGATCAGACTTGCAACATATTATCTCACCACTCTGCATAACAGTCATCTTAGTTACTCTACATAAGTTTTGTCATGTTTTTATAATCTATCTCTATCACTTGATTTTATATTTATTTTCCATCCCTGATAGATCTTTTCGAGCATGGCAAACCGCCCACAGTGGATTCAGCGGCTGTGCCGAGCCTCTCCTCGCGGTTGGCAGCGCGTCGGTGGAAAGCCTTTCCCTCCCGTGCGGGGCCTCAGCGCGGTGCCGCAGCGGCCCCTGGTGCCCCGGTGCCGGCGCAGCGGCTCCGGCCGGGGACATTTGCGGTGCCGTAACGCGGAGCTCCAAGGCCCAGCAAAAAAACTGCGCTCCTTAAGCCTTGCTGGGTGAGGTGCTCGCGGTGTAAGTTTAGAAATGAACTCTATGAGGATATACCTGAGCAAGAACCACTCCGTTCTCCAAAGAGGAATTAAAAACAAAGCAAAGAACTTCAGGAAAGAATCCGTATTATGTATTAGGGATACAAGGGATTTGCATGTCAAAAGATGAGGAAAGGGGTCTGTTTATACTCAACAGTGTTCTAAATGAGAAGAAAAATGTTGAGTAAATTTACCTTAGTTTTTCAAATAAACCAGGAACTTACCATATTAAGGGCAACATTTTTATGCTACTACAAGTAATCAGTTCACCATCCACTTCAGAAAACACATGATACATTCCCTAAAAAAGAAGGGAATCGTGCCATTGACTAGGATTTGTTCTGAAGACATTCAAGGATGAAGGGACAAAAAGTACAGCTGAAACAACAAGCACTGGAAACAGAAATTAATACTGTAACACCTATTCTAATCCTTTGAAAGAGCACAAAAGCAGTAATCAAAGTAACTTGGTTTGTTTCCATATAGGATCTGCTAAGGCATTGGAAAAATACTATAATAAAAGCTCTAGGATTGCACATGCACCTTACCAGTGAATCAGTAACACCCAGCAGAATACCAGCACATGCAGTATTAGCATCTTCTCCTATAGCTCAGAAATAGAACAGAATCAAGCCAACAAATGGGTAACACAGTGCCATAACACTCAGCATAAATCAATATCATGCTTGAGGAAAAGAAACTAAGAATACTGCACAAAAACACCTCTAAATATAATGTAAATATAAATATAAGTCTGTCAAATATGCCTCTATGGCCTTACTTTTGTTCTCTGAACATGGAATGCCTTCAGGCAAGCTGATGGCTAGTAAGTTATCTGTCACTTATACCTTACTTTTTTGCCCCTAGTTCTACTTCTCTTTAGATGTTTTAATCTAAAATCTGTTACAGCAACACTTCAAGAAAATCCCAATTTTTGTAACTTCCTCCTCACTCAAATTCTAGCTCATATACAGTAAACAATCAAGGAGACACAACTGACTCCTCTGTTCAACTTCTCTTTTCCCCCCCAACAAGGGTAGTTCAGCAGGTAAAAATGTTGTATCCCCTTTAATCCTAGAACCTTAGTTACACACAAGCACAGTTAGCTGCTAACCCACATGCTGCACTCATCTTTGGGTAATTGGAATATTAAACAAGCATTTATTCTCATAATTACTTTCTCAATTATGTTAAAGTAACAATAGTAGAGATGCCATGATTCAAAAGTACACAAGGAAAAATCTTCTAAGCTTCTAGAAAGATGAATGAAACTTCTAGGAAAGCAAATAACTGGCTCTTTTGGACTCATACACTTTAGCTGAAGAGTTACAGGGTGTAACACAGCAAGGCAGTTCCCAATTCAGTCAAGGCTTCTTAGTACAGCTCTCCAACAGCAGTGTGTCTGCTCTCTAGGTTTCATTGTGGATATTTTGAACTAGAAGAATTTCAGTTTTGATTTTCCTAGCTACAGATCTCATGAGTTAACGAGTCAGAGAGACAAACAATAAGTTTACATTTCAAATTTATAGTAATAAAAAATCATATGTTAAGCTTCAATTTCTCCTAGTTGGTTTAATGTGAGACTTACATTAAATAAACAATATATTATTTGTCATAACCAACTAGTAAGGCACAGCCAGTTGCAGTTTAAGATTTTGTTTTCCCTCCATATGCTTCCTTTGACCATAACGGTGTAGGATAGGAGGCAGAAAATGTAATCAGTAAGACTGAAGCTGCAGGATACAAAATGAGAACCATCAATGAAAGGTTACCAACACTGCCTACACAAGACATATCAATGATAAGCTTAAAAACCCTGTTTCTCCAAAACAGATTATGGCACCTTCAACTCACAGGAGAGGAAAAGTTGTACTGATAAATTCCAGGTCAGTTATTTAGCTTTTGTCCACTAACTTCACAAATACTACAGGCTCTTATGAGGGACAGCTTAGACATCTTAGGACATAAATCAAAAAAATTTTCCTCAAACCATAATTCTTTTGAGTAGTTTCTTGTAAAGCTCTATACACCCTTACAGGAGACCAGGTTCTTGGTATTTATTAAGCTCATCAGCTAAGCAACACAGTCAGACCGTCCACAGCTGTCATATTAGGAGGTTGCACTCCCCTGTAGTCCTGATCATCCATACAGGGGGCACAATATAGCTGGACAATTTCCACTCATTGCTCACATGAATCACCAAAGCTCATTTCTCAACAAAATCTTTTTTTTTTTAAATAGTCCATAATCTCTTCCTGGCAGATTGTTATGTATCTCACAGCTAAATTAATTTGCTGTTGAAAACATTAGTCCTTTTTAATATGCTTACCTCAAACACAAAGACACGATTAAAAAGTAAAAGGTTACTGACCTTTTTATTAAGGACTAAAGAATCTTACATAAAAGTGTCATGTGATTATAACAATAATTCCTTACAAAAATTTCTCATTTTCTTCTGTTTTATTCCTTCATTTAGAGATAAAAGGAAATGTAGTCTTCTTTATATGTCAATTTGCATCACATGACTTTTTTTCTAGGCCTGCTTTGTGTTTATTCCCATATCTTTAATCTTATATGGTTTCAGATGATTCAGACATTCTTGGAGTACACAAAGAGCTTATAGTATTGACTCTTTGTTCTTGTTTTTTTAAATGCCTTGTTTGCTTTGATATGTTTAATGCTTGTGAAAGATGCCAATGCAACTGGCATTTAGAAATCTAGTTCTCAAGCAGTAACACTGGCAAAGCAGGAGCTGTAACAGCGCAGGCTTCTCCACAAAGCTCTGCCAACACGGTTCAGTGCCATCTCATCCTATTATTTATTACAGTTTGTACACCTTGTCCAGTGGGGATGTCAGACATGTTTTTATGTAGTTTCCTGGATCATTCTTGGAGTTCTTTCAGACAGCCATATTCATGGCACATGTGCCATTTTCCAATACCACAAGTACCATTGACATTAAGCAAAAACTTATCACTACCTTCTCCAGCCACAAATTAATTTATGATTCCAAGATGAATATATCTGATCATCCCAAATCATTACTGCTTATATTTTCCAGTCATTGTATTGAAAATTCAATTTAAGGCATTATCTCCTTGTGTTTAGTTCTCCTTGTGGAAAGGGTTTTGCCATGGAAAATTTCTCAAGATACTCTCCAGTAAACAAAAAAACCTCCTTTGCTTTGTTCTGGTTTTACTGTGATTGCTCTTCCCATACAACCTTAAATTTCTGTGGATCTTCAGGATTCTCTTGCAGAATTTCTGGTCATAGATACTACAGGTACTAATAAAGATTCCTTTTTGGTGATTGTTGCTTTAACTCCTTTTGGCCTCCTTAGGCCCCCTTCTGCATTTCATGAAAATTTATGGTTCTTTTTTTTTTCATTTTTTAGACAAAAATCTCATTGTGCTTATCTTTTTTGAAGGTGCCATCTGTTTGTCTGGCTTTTTTTTGTAATTGTCTCCAGTGTTGGCATCCTTCAGAGCTTGATCCTGCAGCACAACCAGAGGGATAAACAATTGTACAAACTGTCCTACAGCAAACTCCCGAAGAACACAATGTAAATAGTAGATTATGGTCTTGCAGTGCACCCTGCAATTTTATTCACAATGTACTGCAAGTCTTAATGCTAAGACTAAAACCAGTATAAAGCATTCTATAAAATAACCACATTCCAAAACACAACAAGAAGTACAAAGCAATCCAAGTAATCAAAAACTCTCATAGAATAGGAAAAGCATCTCTGCACAATCTTTTGGGAAGTGCCAATTCCTTTCCCTAATTCACTGTTACTATAATGAATTTAAACTATTAAGTTCATAAACACTACTTGGAATCATGCCAATGTGACCAATTGAAGTAAAATTCTAGGACTCTTAAATAGCTGGGTGCCACATTCAGGCACCAGCCCCCTTATGCACTAAGAGCTGCATAGTGGGAGTGGTATTTCATTTATTAAAAAAAAGCCTGGAGGATGTATCTAATTAATTATAAAGTTATACATGAGAAAGTATTTGCACAAAACAGAAATTATTTTCTAAGGTAACTAATGCACACTCCAAACAAGTATTAAAACAAAATCACGTTATTCAGGGCACTGTTTTAGAGCATGTGGCTGTTAGATACAGAGGCCTTATGAGGAAATGGCTACAGTACTAAACATAGAGAGCCTGGTAGCAGACTGTCTTCAAAACCTACTATATGCTTTATTACACTCTGTTTTAAAACAGCTTAATTCTCTGGTTTTACACAGAATTCATTGTACAGTCCAAGAACAAATAACTTTGCTACAAATCATGGGAATTGGATCTTAGGCCTCTCAAAGTTTCTTTGCTGAGTCATGTCATCTGACTAGTCACACAAGAATACATGTCAGCTTGTAGCTTGCCATGGAGATGATTAGAGATTTTTTTCTGAAGGAGCTGAAGCTAATGTGCTTAAGCAGCTGAACAAAAATGTCATATATGCTCTTTATGTGCACTTTGTTCTCCATATTAAATCATATGCATCATAGATCTTTAAGGACAAAATTACTGATGCACAGCACATGTGCTCCTTTAACCATCACAGTTTACCCTAGCAAAGTATTATCAAATATAGGAGTTTTTAAGAAAGGAAATTAGCACGCTCTATTTTCTCTGCTATTTAGTTGTCATCTTTCTGGCATTTTTTTCCATAATGATTTAATCTTGTTGAAAATTTTAGGTCCACATTCTGATGATGCCCTCCAGTAATTGGAGTAAGTTCCCAAAGTTAGGTAGATTTTATTACTCATGTATGCCCTACATTTTTTGTCTGGCAATACTTCACAAAATTAATGAATGCTTCCAATTTTTTATCAATGCCTACAACTTTCTATTGGTTTTGGTTTAAGATGTATGTTTCTTTGTGCGGCTTGTTCCACATTTCCAAAGCATATTTCTGCTGGATGCTGCTTGGTCTCAGCTCACTATCTAGCGACTAAACTTTCATTACTGTCACTTTGCAGCTTTTCATTAGTTTGGCCTCTTCCCATAATTTCACTAGAACCTCAGTATGTTCTTTCTCTGATTCATCACTCTTTACAGCAGATTGCCCTCCCTGAGGAGAATAGTGAGGCCTTGTCATCAGCACCGATATTAAAGAGCAACCACAAATTAGCAGCAAGGACATCGGACCCGGTTTTCATTACACATCCCACGGAGAAAGCTTTCCTGGTGCCTCGGTGTAAACGAGGATTGGGTAAACTCGAAGTCTCACAAATTCAAGGCAGAGAAACGCTTACTTTCTGGAATGTTTCCAGTNCCGTCTGCTGGAACGTCCCCGCTCCGCCGTCCGGCGGGCGGCAGCGACGGCTTTTCAATCTCTGTTCAGTTGCGTCTCAATTCGTAGGAGGAAGAAAGAGAGATAGGTACCACGCAGCGGGAGAGATGCGGTCTCGGGGGCCTCACCTTTGTGAAGCAGGGGAAGTGTGGCTGCTCGGCACGGCCGAAATTGGGTGTGTGGAGCAGAGCGTGAGAGCCCCATCATCTCCTGCCGCGCCCGCTGCTGTCGCTGCCGCAGCGGGTGGCCTTGGCCGGCCCATGGCTCGCAGGGGGCCCCGGGAGAGGACCCTGCGAGAGGCAGACGCTCATAGCACAGGAGCCGTTTCACCCATGTCACAACTTTTCGTGCCCTTTCTTTTTGCCCATTTAAATATGTCCCTTCCAACTGGGCAAAGGGAGAAGGGTTTAGCAGCGCGCATTGTGTTAATTTCTTGTAACAACTGAGGAGGGGAAACTGGACTGTTCTATTCAGTGCGATTTTGCCTGTACTGTACTGTTAGCAAAGAGCATTAAAATTTCAGGAGAGAATGACAGTGATGTTTCTGTTGCTGAAATCAGCAGTGAAATAAAAATGTAGCACAAATCTAGATAAGAAACGACTGAGCGAAAATGTTACTTATGAAACCATGTGATACAAAGAAGATAGGAAGTAGCGGTTAGTTTGCCTTTTGTGAAGACACAAAAAACTTGCGGACACCAAGAGAAAATACTGAACGGTATATTTAGAACAAATTAAAATACCTGTCTCTTTTTAGAATGCATAATTAAAATGCAGCATTCACTGACACACTATATGGTAGGTGCTAAGAGTTATACCCAGTTTCAAAAAAGGGGAAAATCAAGAAGCAGTGTGTTAAGAGGTATGACGCACCAAGAACACAACCACTTTGAGAAGTCCAAAATTCATAAACTGAGGAAAGCTGGGACAGGGAAGTTATTTGCTAACTAGCTATTTCCTATGTTCTTATGCTCTTTCCTAGGCACCTTCCATGGTCATCACTCAGAAATGGGATACCACGCTATACTGGCGTTTGATCTGAGACAGTATTACCATTCTTATGTTAGTGCTGCTTATGGATTAAAGGTTCCACTTCAATGTGTAACCTCCTAGAGGGAGGCAATCTTACGCTTGTCAGTTGATGTGTCTACCCGCAGATGACTTCAGATCATGACAGATTTTTCAGTAACTTTATTTTTTTCCAGGAGTAGTAGTAACAAGAATCTGAGTTTATACTACCTCCTATGTATGTTAAATAGGCTTCTGCATCCATGAAATAGTAATCATACTTAGTACACAGAACAGAGGGAAGCATTTTATTTATTAAATGCTTGTTCCTTTCTTGAATTTCACAACTTCAGTTAAAATGCGGTCTTTCTAGTGAATAATTCTAAAATGTTCTCTGGCAGCACAGTGGTAATCTAAGGAGAGGATTATTGCATGTTTATTAAAAAGTTCTTTTATGAAGATACAAATGTTAATTTTTGAAGCCACTGGCTACATATTGTGCTTTGAACTTTGGTTCTTTCCCACAGAAACTTTCTGGGACTAGTTGATTTTGTAGTGTCATTAACTATTCATAATTAATTAAACCATTGGCACAGAAACAGTTAAAATACGGGATAGAACCTTGGGTTAGAGTATGTTAAGATGTTGGCATGCTTTACTAGGAAGTCTTGAAATTAATTTAATTTCCTGGATTCAGGAATGTTTTTTACTGACCAATTTGTATTAACCAAAATATTTTCAAAAATACTTTATTCATATTTCTGACTTTGAAACATGGCTAACAATGTCTTTATTTATCCGCCTACCTCCAAGTTTAAATATATCTTTGTCCTCCACTTATTATTTTTCAGAGAATTACAGAAGATTATGGGTCAGACTTATACAGGAATTAGCTGCTTAATACCCCTTTGATTTCTCAAAAAAATGGATTTATTTATCAAAATACCTCTACATATCTGAGTCTATGACCATTTTTTAAAATTTTTAATAGGCTGTGTGCAAAATCCTTGTTATCACCCATTTTTCTCATGTATAATGTTTTCCTTGTTTTTGTGTAACAGGTAGAAACAGATGACCAAATAGCCCTCCTTAGTAAGCCTAGGAATAAAGGAGGAAGCAGTGATCTCGCATCAGCTGGGTTTAACATTATTAATTCAATCATAGGATCAGGCATTATAGGTAAATCTACTTTTCTTCACTATTCTATATTCAGCCTTGTTTTTTCATGTGTGAGTATCCAACTTGGAGAATCACACTGACTCCTTACTTTCTGCTGATGTTTTTAAAGATTTTTCTCTCTATTTATTTGATTACTTTGCAAAAATGCAGAGATGAGACCACGCTTCAGTGAAAAATACCCTAGAGTCTCTTGGACATAATGATCAGAGAAGTTGGGCAGATGCTTACTGAACTTCATACTTAAGCAACACTTTGTCCACTGAAAATTATTGTTTTGAGGTTATTAAGCATGCTGGTCCAAATTGGGAGATTAGTAGCATTCATTAAAATCTGAATTTTTCTTTATTTTGATTCTCACAAATAAATATTTGGAAAGTCTCTTCTAGAATCTCTTCTTTTCTGCTTTACAGGATTGCCATATTCGATGAAGGAAGCTGGTTTTCCTCTAGGAGTACTGCTTTTGTTTGTGGTTGCCTATATCACAGGTACTCTAAAGGCAGTCTCTGTTGTAAAGATAAAATCAGCCCTTCAGTATCTTAGCTGATCTTGAGCTTAATGATACCTTAAACAAGTATATCTAAGACAATAAAAATGTCTAATTTTTTCCTTACCTCACTAATCCCTTGAGCAGATTAGTAAAAGTCAAGAATTACACTGTACAACATATGAAGCTGCTTTTTGACTGCATTTATTTTCAAAAAGCCTTAGTTTCCTAGTTGAGGTAACATTTGAAAGAATGTTCATATTTGTGCCCTCATAATAACCTGTTTGAATCCACTGTTTTTATGTTAATTAACTGAATCTTGAGTTTTAAAAACAGACTGCAGAGTGAAAACCTTTGATTATACCATGATTTAAAGTATCTTTCTTCCAATATGAGCTTATAGCTCTTGGGTTTGGTTGGTTGAAAGATTTTGTGAGATTTCTCACCCCTGCTCTTCCTAGTGCCACTGCTTTTCTTTTTACAGTCTTTTTCTTTTTAGAGTAAGAGAAGGTGAAAAGCAATCAACCACAAGTTGGCTCATATTATCTTTTAACAGTAATTTTATATTTTAACAGACTACTCCATTATATTACTGATCAAAGGAGGAAATCTGTCCAACACCAAAACCTATCAAGAGCTGGTCAAAGAAACATATGGTCTTGTAGGTTATCTAATCCTTTCAACTCTCCAGTTTTTATATCCATTTATTGGTAAGATCACATAAAATATAAATGTTTAAGTTTTATAAGTAACAAGCTTCTTCACATTACTTAATTGTTTCACTAATTGAATATTAAGAACTATAAGAAGAATGTATTGTATTTGCTTCTTTGCTATTTAAAAAAAATTAAATTTATATTGTGGGTTCTGACAAATGACTGAGGAGTAATTCAATGAATTGAAGGATCAGAATAATAGAAATTAATTAAAATGTAATAGCAGAGAAATTAGTGATCACACATACAAAAATTAATGACAAAAATAGCTAGAAAAATAACAAAGGAGATTCTGTTTTGGGTCAGGTAGCAGAGCATCAAGCTAATGTATCTTAAACAAAAGGAAAATACGAATTTAGGAGTATACTGAATTAATATTTCTTTCAGATATACAGTGTTATGGTAATTGGGGAAGCCACTGTTTAGCTCTAGCTAGAATATGATGTGCTGTCATTGCTCTTCAAAAGCATTAGTTCAGCCAATGAGATGCTGGGAAATTAGGCAGTCAAGACCCCTCTGAAGAAGAAATAGTAAATGAACAAAAAGGTATAATCTGGGCAGGAATTTATTAGGCCAGAGGTTAAAGCTATATTCTGAATCTGTCCCCAGCTGTAGCAGCATAATTAAATCACATTTTAAATAATGTTAATATTTTCACACATGGAGCTGCAAGACATGATGACTTGAGATATCAAGAGTCTGCACTTGGTGATCACAGTCACAGATCAAAATTCCCATTTTGGTTCTGGCTACAGGTACCTGAGACTTTTAAAGATGTCAAGTTACTGTTACTGCAGGCATTTAATATACTCCTTTGTAAATCAACTACTCCATTGATAATAAAATTGTAAACTCCATTTACAATTGAGAATTGTAAAGGTCTCAGTTCTTACCATAGAGCTATGGTTATGCTCTTGTATGTGTTTGAATTAATTTATATTAGTAGTGACTTTTTAATGACTTAAAATTTCACAACACTGAGTATTTGTGTATAGTTAAGGTCAATACCTACATATATGCTGTCTAAATGGTGAAGACCATAGAGTGTATATCTTGTGTGTATGTATACACACGTGCACAAATTTACACACTCTTAGTGTAGAGTTAGATAAGAATGAAATATGAGTGTTAAGGCCACAGCACTTAATAATGAGAGGGAATAGGGTTCCATATCTGGTATCTTAATCTGTTTTCTTCTTTTTTCTGGTTTAAAGAGCTTGCTAGTTTTTTGCATGAGCTAGAAAGTCCTTTGCATTTCATTGCAGAACTGATTATTAGACTACCACAGGAGTTTTACTAAATAGAAACAAGCATTTGAAAATAAACTGACAAAGAATTGCTATTTGAAACAGTTATAGAAAGCCTTTTTTATCCTCTTCTGAAATAAGTTCATATGGCCTTGCTTATCAGGCTGCATTTTTGCTTAGGTAGTACCTGTTAAAAAAAAAAAAAAAAAAAAAGAAAAAAACAAGCATTAAATAATTAATTTTTTTAACCTGAAACAAAACCTGTTGCTGCTATCCAGAATTCATATTAGAGGGATAGTGGCATATAATCCTGAAGTCTACAAAATGTGTGTATTCAGTGTTAATCAAATATTAATCAAATATTAAGTGTTAATCAAATATTTTGGATATGACTTGTACTAATAAAAAACTTATTTTCTTTAAGCTATGATCAGTTACAACATAATAACAGGAGACACTTTAACTAAAGTTTTTCAGAGAATTCCTGGAGGTAAGATGCATTTAAAAATTTTAAGAATGGGGGATTATGTATTGGATAGAAGCACAGCATAAATATTTTTGTAATTACCTGTAATTTAGCTTTTAAATTATTCTTAAATTTAGTTCAAATCAAGAACTTGAAGCATGTGTCTATGAGTGGGGTTTTTGAGTTTGTTTTTTTTCCTTTAATAAGCCTTTCCCAAAAAAACCCCCTATGAATCCTAGCCCTTGGCTATCAGTGGACTCAGTGTCAGTGAAGAGACCAGATGCTTCAGTGAAATACTAAGCAAATAGAAGTGAGTTTTCCACAGTTGTGTATTTACAAGATTATTGGATTTTGTAATTTTTTTTAGACAGTTCCTATAATAATAATAATTTAAATAGTGAAACTGTACTTCATCTAGTGAATAATTCTGGATAAATTGCAAATAATATAATGAATGTAATGTTTTTTAACTCATGCCCCATTCTTTCCCTTCCTGTGCTCTAAGTTTCCACAGCAGCATCAGTGGAGCAATTTCTGTATATGTTTGATATCTACTTTAGCACAAAAGCAGCTAAGATAAAACATTCTTCACTGGGAAATTAGACTGAGAGAAAACATGTCTGTAATGCAGTGGAAATTTGTATTTGTATGAACTGTTTCATTTCCACAGAACTGTGATTTTCAGCATGTGAAACCTGAAAGGTGTGGAGGTAGTTTTAATTGTCACACTCTGTTGTTCTGTGAATACCTGATCAAATTGATAGTGACAGTGAATATCTAATAATTTATACATAATATGACTTCTAGGGGGAATCACCAGCATGGAAAATCTTATTACCTATCCAGTAGAATACCTTCCTGGAAAGAGGTGGAAAAGCATTATAATTTCCCAAAGAAACGAGGGAACAGAACACCAAGTTTTCCATGTCAATTGCCAGTCACTTTCCAGCCATAATTATTCATCAAGTATTCATTCAAGCCAATGATTTATGGTGGCCTCACTGAAATTTGGAGATGTTTTATTTTAAGTTGCCATTGGTTTGAAAAAACCCACCAGTTATGCAAACAAATCCCACTGATTGCATGGAATATTGTAACAGCACTGTTGCCTTCACATTGTAATCTACTTTGCAAGTGGAAGCCAGCTGCTGACAAGAAAGGAGGTGCTCAAAAGAAATCTCAAAATTAACTTATTTTAGGCCACTTCTTATAGAACACTGCTATCCTAAACAGTACAGTAATTGATGTCAACCCACAGTATAAAAAAATTGTCAAGACTCAATGGCAGAAAGAAGTAGTAGAATTTTTTACTTGCAGTCTCCCAGCATTGACCCAGACATGATGAAACACATTAAAACCAATCTATATGTAGGAATCCAGACCTTGCAATTTTGATTTAATATATCCCATATGTTATGCATTTGGTTTGAATTTGCAGAATTCTTGTGTTTATGCCCATGCTGTGCATGGCTTTCTCAATGTTAGTTAATGCCTAGTTTTCTGTGTTACTTAGCTTGAGTAAAGGGTATCAAAACTTGATCACCAACAGTTTGTTACTTCTAACCTTTAAAATGTAGCTAATCTTTTTCTCAAGTTAGTCTCTTAAAGAAATAAATTATTTTCTTTTCTGCTTTAGTTGGGCTGGATAACGTGCTTACCGACCGTCACCTCATAATTCTTCTTACCACCATCATCTTTACCTTACCTATATCTTTATATCGAGACATAGCAAAATTGGGAAAGGTAAATCATAACAGCAGTTGATTTTTGCTTTATTGTTCTGTATGCCATTGAAAATAAGTGCCAGTCATAACTTTGTGTAAATAATTAATAAATGCATTATACTGCCCAAAGGACAACCTTTCAGCAGCTTACTGACTAAATTAATGTTTTCACCTTTACAGATATCTCTTCTTTCTCTGATTCTAACCATTGTCATCCTGATTATTGTGATGGTGAGAACAGTAACCTTCAGTCCACAAATGTGAGTATTCTTACACTTGCCACAACATGAACTTCTATTCATATATAATCTGTTATTTCACTATTGCATTTACCTGCACAGCTGTGGAGCATGCCTGTTTTGGAACAGACAGATAATTGAAAAATCTCTATCAACAGTAATGCAAAATGAACAGCTAAAAATCAGTCATCCTTTTTAATTTTTTCTTCTATTGGGTATAAGCAAATTTAGAGAAAGTTTCAAAACCCTTAGAGATAAATGGGAAATTATGGATGACTAATAGTAGGGGGTCCTGAATCAGCATGTGAGATTGTCAGTCATTTGAGATATTTATTTTTTCCACTATTGTCAGATTGCCTATATTTACAATCTTAAAATAGCTACTATCCTAGGAATATTTATTTTTCTGATAAAATAAATATAATAATTTCATAATAAAAATCATATACAAAGACTGAGAATTTTAGAAAGTAATGCAATAATAAAACCTTTATTTTTTTATTTTGTATTTTTGAGAAAACAACTGTATAATATGAAAAACTCGTACTCTGAGAGTAGTACTTAACATTGGACATTGGAGTGTTCTAGACAATTTAATACACATACGTATGTGTTGTGACAATATTTTTATGATTATATTGCAAGAAAGTGTTATGAATCTATTGTTATTTCTTAAAGGCTTAGAAGGGCCATCTTTTTTCTCATCCTTTAAATGTATAGTCATATTAATAAGGATGACAAATTCTATTTCTGAATGTGCTTTTTTATTTATTGGAACAGGTTTATATGGTACTTCTTATGTTTCCCTAAGTAGATTCTTCCACCAGGATTTTATTTCATCAATGTTAGGCCCAATAGTTCATTTGTATTACTGCTGTGATACATGGGTTAATTGCAGGGTTTTCAGGTTTAATGGTAGGAAGATGCCTAGAATAGCAGTTTCTTAAGTTGTACCAGATGATGTTGTCTATCATCCACAAAATCTCTCCCTCAGAACGGTGTGGAACTTCCCTCCCCACCATATTTCTGGAGCAGCATGTTTTTCTCACTGTGTGTCAAAGGGGTATTTAAAAGGTTAATCTCAAAACTCCCTGTTAAAAAAGGAAGAAGCTATATATAATAGTTACTGATAACCTTGTTACTATGGTAACATTTCTTCTCCACAGTTGTGATGAACTGAAAAATATGGAATGCATGGTTTTATTTTTTTATTACAGTACATGCTGTTCAGTTTTGAGTGATTCTTGAAGTTTTACTTCTTAATTCTTTAGAGACTTACATTTCTGCCTTTACACTTCTTGTTTTCAAAAATACATCTAGCAAGTTGATAAACAGCTGGTAATATTTTTTCCTCACCAACATTTTGTTAGTCTATTTTTACTATCTTTGCTATTTTCATTTTACAGTTAGACATACACTCTAATTGCTAAAACTCTCTTCTATTTTGTTAGTTGTATAATGGTATGACTTTTTTTTTTGCAATGAAAATAAAGAATAATGTTACATTTTAATATGGGTCTCATCGTATTACAAATGAAATGAGTTAATTAACACATTTACTGTGAATTCTTATTAAAATACAATAGAAGTCAGAATTCTGATCAAATCAAAGAGATTTTAAAAATTATTATTATAAAAGCACAGTCCTTGTATCTGTCTTATAGAAAAAGAATTTGTACAATCCTGGATAAAGGTTTGATGGGGACAAAAGTACTTAATCCCACCAATTTTTATGTGACAGAACTGATTATGTGCCTGCCATTGATGACAAGTGATTTCCAAGAACAAACTAGACAATTCCACGGTTTCCCATTCCAACCCTTAACTAGCCTTTTCTCATGAATTCTTCCTAAATGTGTATAACTCCATTTCATATTGGTTGCTTCTTGGCCTAAACAAGGTGGATATGAACGGCAAACTATGCTTTTTCAAGTGCTTGAAAAACACTTGTAAAAAAAGCTGTAATTTGTCCCTCTTTGAGGATCCCTTCTATGGACAAAACCTTTGGAGTTTCTCTGTCATTTCCTCTGCTTCTAATCATGGTCAATGGCTGCCTTAAGTTTTCTGCAAATTAAAGTGGAATCATTGTATTCTACCTGCCTGGGATATTCACTCTGAGGAGCAGAGAAGAAAGATTGATGTATCTTAAATGCAAATGCAAATAGGTGTTGTAAGGTCCTTTTCAACTGTATCCCCTGGGGATCCCATGCCTCTGTTTATGTAACCTAGTTTAATGTTAGCCTCTTTGGAAAATAGCATGATATGATGAATGTGCCTTGAGTTTAGTCTAGTAGCAGTCTAGTAGAACTACCAAGCATGAGGTCCTCTGCAGAATTGTTTGCTGGTGGATTTTCCTTTCTTTAATACTCTTCTCACAAAGTTTAGGATTTGTTTGTTTGTTCTTCCTGCCTTGTTCTTGTGAAGCCTTTTTATCCTCTGCATAACGGTAGAATTTGTCATTTCAGAATTGAATGCTGCTTCATCAGATAATTTCTCCATTTACCAACATATTTATGATTTTTCTTTTTTCATCCCATTCTCTAGCATGATCATGCTAATTGCACATTTCATGCTTTCCATTAAAGGCACTTTTACCTCTTTGTTCCGTCATTCAAGTCATTGCTGAATACATTCAAAAGTACTGGACTCAGGTCAGGTTCCACTGGTATCCCATTTGGATATCTTCTCACTTTGATAATTACTTTCTGAGTAGTAATCAGTTTTCATTTACCTTTAGATTTTTCAAAGTGAATACTTCTTTCCTTTGAGAGGTACAAGATCATTACGTGGAAATGATGAAACTTTTTTTGCTTAAATGCAATCTGTTCTCTAGTTGAAAATTAAATCTTATTTGGACAACAAAGCAATAAAGGATTTATTGCTATTGCAATAATCTGAAACTTTCTGCAATGTTATAGACCATCAGAGAAACAAAAATAATACTACTATTTTAAACAGGAATTGCAAGGTTTTGAATGTTGCTTCTTTTTTTGTTTGTTTTCCTCTTTATTTGCTCTGAGTTTGGGGCAGGTTGTACAAGGACATTTTAAGAATGTTACTGTCACATACTCATGAGAAAAAAGTAAGATGCCAGATTACTTGGTTTGATTTATTTCCTCTTATGACAAATATAAAACTGAGATACTTCTTTTTTTCAGTTTTGGTTTTGGTAACTATCATCCAGATGATTGCTGATAACTGAATTACATAATAAACCTGCATATAGAATCCAGTGTTCTGGCTTATTAAGAGTTCGCTCCCAGTATTTTAAGATGTTGGATAAAAATACATTTTGACCTGATCTTTATTCCCATCTGTTTATGGCTGGGTATTTACTTACTGTGATTGTAAAAAAATAGGTAAGAATTAACTCAAACTGTAAAGCGCAGCATGCTAATACTGCATGGAATAACTTCATGCTTTCAACCTGAAACTAACATTCCTTGTTGTAAAAATATTTTATGTAGCTTATAAAGAGAGATCATTTTAATTTAATTTGGTGTTCTTTAGCAAGAATGCTATGATGTCAGTGTCTCCATAATACATAAATGTCTATGAAATACTTCAAGAGCATCTGCTACACATAAAGAGGATGTGAGAATTACTCAACTGGCAGCTGATCACAGGGATAAAACACCAAGGGCTCAGGAAAAAACTTGAAAGTAAAAAGTTGATTCTTTCCTTCATATAAAAAAATCCAATAGTAAGGAAAGGTAAACTTTGTGTGATCAAATTAAAAAACCCAACTAAGCTACTTTATATTTACAGAACTGTTAAGTAATTCATTAAGGAAGAAAGAAGAGTAGAAGTAGCTGTGTCTAAGTTGGGCTGACATAATAGCTTTGCCTTGTCTGTGTTCTTTCACAAGATGACTTTGATTAATATAAAATCCAAGGCTAACATGAGCTGTACTCATTTTCTTTTCATTGTATTGATTAAAGTTATATTCAGCATCTATGAACTTTTCAGTATTTTTCAACTTTTGAAAGTTTGACTTTTAAAAGTCAAAGATACCTAGAAAGTTATTTTACCTTAGAATAGAATTAAATTGAATTGTTACAATTGATTTTCTAAACGTTTAAATCATTGAATTAAACCTGAATGAATCTGTGAGATGATTCTGGATTATGTTGTTAACTGCTGGTTTGCACCTAAACTTGGCAGCTGGACACTCATCTTCAATCCAAAACAATGGTAGTCTTTTGCTCATTCCAACATGTAGCTCCCCTGTCAAACGTATTTGTTCTTCTCGAGAAATGACCTTTTTTTTTTTTCAAGTCAGTGTTTCATAGCCACAAGGTGGTTGAGATCAGGGATATTTATTTCTCTTGCCTTCATTAAAGACGTTTTGTTTCTCATGCACTCTTCTGCTGCAGCTTTTATATAGAAATGACTGAAAAGACTTTAATATCTTCATTGATCCTAAGATGGAGACTATTATGCTGAAAGTGTTTTACAAGAAGTAAAAGGCCATCTTAGACTGCCAGATTTTCCCAACTCTTACTCATGATCTGCATGCTTACTCTGTTAGGATGGCTTATCCTTTGCCTGGTTCATCTGTTCTTCTCAATTTCCCTTTCTTATGTAAATTAGCTTTTTAGAACTCATGAATTTGTTTATTATGGTACATTTTCACTTACATGTACTGAAGACTGAGTAATCTTATTTTCTTACCCTCTGGGTCTCCATTTTTAAGCCTCACTACCTTCAGTCTGTCTTGCTTTTGTCTTTGTTTCAGCTAAAACTTTTTCCTGTATGGGAACTCCTTCAGTCTGTCTTTTTACTCAGTCTTTTACTATTTTTGTTCCAAGAACTACAGGTAAATCACATCTCAGTTTTACTCTGTGTTTCAGCTTCTACTGTATATGATAGACACTACAGCTGTCAGCATTTAGTTCAAAAATGTATTTCTTCTCTTACCTTTCATTGTTTCATCTAACTAATACTTCTTCAATATGAAAAAACTTCCTGTTCATGCAGGCATAGCCTATGCTTTTATACATGAGTGAGAAGTGGAGAGCTAACTGGTTTTGTCATTCATGGATTTTCACAGCTAATGCTATTCTTGTATAAGCAGCAGTTAAAATCTTCCTGTAATAACTCCTAACAAGAATGTAGGTCAGAACAAAGGTCAAAAAAATAAAAAAAATCATCTTAAATTGTAGCAGCAGGATTGAAAAACCACAACAAGTTATCCTGTATTTTTGTGATATTCTTTCAGTGTTTGTATGCATCTGCCTACAGAGATGCATATATTTATATCAATGTGTGTATGTTTACTTTGACAGATGATGTTTCCATTAACTGCCTTTTGATTTGTGAGTGATTTTCTGTACTTGTTCATTATATGGCTCTTCCATAACTCACGCTTACTGTTTTCTGACAGTTTTCTCTTTCTGAGAAGTCTTTTTATGTAGTCTTATTTTATATAGATGCTTTCATGTCACCTGCACCCTTTCCCAGGAGCTTTTCATAAGTCTCTGTATACTGCAGACTGAACTTGGGGGCAATTTCTTACTGATGTGATCACAGCTCTATCCCTCTATTCCCACAATATGAAAATGTTTTTCAAAGCACATGCAGCATTATGAGTTACTGAAGAAAATAGTACATCTGTATCAGCATACATGTAGGACATAACAAGCTGTTGATAGTGTTCAAATCAGGGATCTGAAATTCTTCCTCTATTTTGGAGCTAGAATGGAAGGATTTTATCTTCTTAGGCTGCTAAATAAGCAGGATTTTGTTCTTTTGGATTTTTTCCCCCAAATAATACTCCTAATCTGATTTGTCATTCACTGGTAGAGCAAAGCAGTATCTTGGTCTTTTGCATATTTCTAGTGCATAAGCTAACGCTATGCAAGGTGAAAACCAGCTCCTGTGATTTGGTTTTTTTTTTTAATTAATAGGCCACTTTACTAAAAATGTATCAAGTGAAATTCCTGTGCTTTCTGAATTCCCTTTTTAAATCTGTATTTTTAGGCGCTCATAATATAGCATTGCTCAGGATGTATCATTTTCAAAGAAATTAAATGTGTTTCAGGTGAAAGCATCCTTTTTTTTCCTGTGTATTTAAAATATTTTATCTTATAAGGTATTAGATAATCTAACTTAAGTATTACTAAGAAAGAGTCAAAGAAAACTGATAAATTCTGCTGTCAAAGAAAAATATAAAACAAATTTTCATTTTGTATGTTTATTATCAAAGCTGACCTCTAGTGGTTACAGAATGGAAAAAGTAGAATGTTAGCTTCCTTTACACTCTTTTTAATTTGAAATATTATTGCAGTTTTCCCAATCATATATGAATGTTTGAATGTTTTCCTGAAAAATTTTACATTCAAAATTGTTAATGTTGATTTTTCAGACACATCCCTAGGTGTAGTGATTTGAAATCAGTGGCACTATAATATTAAGGGAGCATATAAGGAACAACAGTAGCTGTAGAGGGTCAGAACTCCTGTTTCTCAAGATGAGTACCAGATAGCTCCATTTCATCCATAGTACTTTACATCTATGTGCTGAGTCTGAGGATATTTTAGGAGGGCCATATTCAGCTGCTTAAGGCTCAAAGCAGTATGTTACAGCAGTTCAAGACAATATACTGTACCTGAGGACAAAAAAAGGGAACTTGATTTTATATTCAGTTTCTGTTAACTTCAAAGTTAAGCTTTACAACTACAGCTTAAGAGCTGAAAAGTCTGAACTGAATGTCCATTAGGTACTTTAAATCTGGGTCTTATTAATATGGAAAAGGAAGGATTGACTATTTGAACTCAAGAAATAGTAAGATATTCTGAAATAAGAGTATAAGAGTTCTGAAAGAGGAAACTGCAACTTTTTTTACTTTATTATTATTACTTTTATTTTAATCTGTTTATTTTTAGGGGCTGGAGGTGTAATTTAAACATTTGAAAGCAATGAAACTTGGCATAGCATATGCCACTACAGCTGTCAAAACCAGCAAGAGGGAGAGATCACCAAAGAGAGGGAGAGATAAAGCTGCCATTGTTACCTTCACAGGACTGGCCTGAGTGCCATGCTGCTTCCTAGGGCAGCAGGAAAAGAGCATCTTAAGGCCCCAGGTGACAGCAGCTTTCCCTCTAAATAAAAACAGAGCAATCAAGGTTAGCAGTAGCAAACTTTTTAAGAGCAAGCTTCTCTGCATTGTTTTTCATTGTCTTTGCTTTAATATTACAAATTCAGTATTTAACTAGCTTGTGAATTTCATTTGATGTTTTTTAGCAAATTGTATTTCTGGAAAAGGCTGGTGTCCTTCCCTATTTTTTCATTTTGGCTCCTTATTCCAAGATGAAGTTCATGGAGTAAATGGCTTTTAACAAAGTTTGCTGATGGTCCTCCCATAAGCATTGCAATTATCAAAGGTTCAAATCTGTGAGCGTATCTTAGAGGAGGAGGTGTGGGGAATATTACATTCTTGCCTGACTATAAAAGTCTCCATGTACTCTTACGATTTCTTTTATGTTTTGGGAAAAGTAACAGAATCTCTTTACTATGAGGAACAGTTGGAAGAGGTGTAAAGAAAGGCGAACTCCCTCACTTGATTTGTAGCCTAGTAAAATGGTGTCTCTAGACTGCATTGATTACATATCTCAATTCAAAGGTAGAAATTGCCTCTAAATAGTCAGAGTGCATTTTTAGTTGAGATAACCTTAGTCAGAATCAGTAACAGCTTTTACCTTCCGTGTTGCTGTCTCTTGGTATATGCTGACTTGAAGTGTTTATTTACAAACTGAAATTTTTGTTTCATTTTTTGTTCAAAGGCTGACATTTTTGATTGTAAACACTGGTTACCATGTTTGTTTTGAATCAAAGAAAGGGAGATGAGAAAGGTATCTCCCTGGTTGCAGCTTGTTGATAAACACTGGGGCTATTTCAGAGAGTTCTGGAGATCTGTCTAGCAGCAGTTCTGTATTACAGCATATTACTTGAGTCATTTTTAATAACTGATAATTGAAAAGAGGGTAATCTATTTAAATGTCTGTTTTAGACCCAAATCAGAAAATGCATGGATATTTGCAAAATCAAATGCAGTACAAGCCATTGGGGTGATGTCATTTGGTAAGTGTTTTTTGCTTTTGTTGGTTTTTTTTTTTCAATATTAATATTTTGAACAAAGATTTTTCTTTAATCTTCATGTTAAGAAGATTAGAAAGGTGTAGAAAAATAAAAAAGAAATTGACTGAATGATCCATATGAATGTCAGCTGTTATTGTGTAAGACATTAACCTCATCCATTGTCCATTTGGCCCTAGAGGCTTGCCACTGTATCAGAGACAGTGTGCACGTGAGTCCAGCTCACCTGTGCAGATCATCCTAAAGCCCCTGCATCATAGGGTTCATCCAACTGATAAACTGAGGGAGCTGGGATCATTCTGCATTCCCTTGGGTAACCTCTAACAGAAAAGTCCTCATTCTGAAATCTGTTCCTGCCTGCAGGATCTGGTATATTATTTCTTGTACACATTGTGATAATCTGAGTCCTCCCAATGATTGCTGCTGCCTTCAATGGATGCTATATAAAGTCTGACACTAGCAAATGGCTCTGTAGATTTTTTTAAAAGCTTCTCAGATCTACTGTTGGGTTCTTAAGAAGAGCAGGAAGAGGAAATAGCTGTGGAATGGAGATGTGGAGGGTGTGAAATGGCATAGCATTTAAGTAATGTAATCAGAATCATCTCAGGATGAATATAAACCTTCATCAAATCAACTAAGCAAGAAAGGTTCAAGTCATTTATCTTTGCACTCATTGCAAGATTAATGTTTGTATTTAATAATGAGTGGATTCAAACTGTGCTGTGTCTCTATGCATTTATGCATGAATTTGTACATCAGCTTTAACTGTCATGTGTGTTTCAGCGTTCATCTGCCATCATAACAGCTTTTTAATATATGGGTCTCTGGAAGAACCCACATTAAAGAATTGGTCTCAAGTCACACATATGTCTGTGGCCTTTGCTCTTGTCATCAGTGTAGCTTTCGCTGCCTGTGGATATATGACTTTTACAGGATACACAGAAGGTAAACTACTTGATCCCTCAATTTTGGTGCTTGCTATAATCCTTATATTTCTGCCTTGTCACATCTCGGTGACTATAAAAATGCAAAAATCATAGTATATCTGGGCAGAAATAGGACATTCCTCATAGTTACCTAACAACTAAAACAGGATCCAAAATGTCACCTACATGCTAATAGCTGCTAGATTCTTAAGTGTAAGCCTCACCAGTGGAAGTCCCCTTTGAATACTTCCACCATTAAAACACTTAGAGGACACTTGTGAGGACTACACAGCTGTGATTTATCTACATAGTCCAGCAGCAGCGAGCAGCAAGAACAAAAATTTCCTACAGGGTATCTGGTGTATATCTGTGTATATTTTCTTACTTTTTTCCTGTCTGTAGTAATACAGTATCATAGAGATATTTCCTATTTTTGCAACAGCTGTTCTGGTGTTACTAATCCTACTGTCCCCTTTGTGGGCATATGAATACACGTAACTATATATAAGCAATGCTGCATCATGCTATTTAACATTGTTTTCTTGAAGTGAAAAAGATGTATTCATAAGAACAAGGTATAAATTGGTTTCAGTGCATTACTTTCTATTGGGAAAATACATATTTCATAAGCAAGTGTATTTTCTGTTACTTAATAGTGACATTCTGGATTGTAGGAGGAGGCTTCCAAGCTTTTTTTCCTTATCTGATGAGCAGCAGCATTTAGTTGGGAACAGAGAAATTGTAGGATGGGGACTCCTGGTTTATTTGTCCTTTTTTCCTGCCTCCAGTGCTTACTCCAGCAGAGTAAGTCACTGTCCTAGATGAACTGTAGGTAGACCGAGTTCAGGCTGGCTGTGAACTTTCAGGTACAGAAAGCTCTGCCTGCATTTCTTCCTCAGCTGATGCCTCTTGTGTTAGCAGGTTCCATCTCACCTTCTGTCTCCCCTTCTGTCAAAATCTTTTGGCTGTTTAAAATACACCTTCTTCAGTGCCATTGTGATCCCTAAATTAGTAAATCATGCAACAGTATCATAATCACATAAAGGAGAACTGATAGATCATCTGGTCAGTCTTGCATTGTCTCTTGTGCCTCAGAGACCGTTATTACAGATTCTTTGTGGTAAACACCAAGCAAGATGACTTGAATTTAAAGTGGTGCTTTTGTTTTTAGATATAAGAAGATTTTCAAGGTAATAATCCCTATGTTTATAATGGGCTTTTGGGGTCAGAATACTTGAAATTCTTCATCTTATTAGCTGTGATTAGATACTATCAGAGAAATGCAGTTCTCCACAGGTAACTTTCACCTTTTTTTGTGTAATTGTTGTTCTAGAAGTTTTTAGGGAAAATTTGTCTTTTGCACATAAGCTTTCTTTCTGAATCTGTCACATATTTATTTAATCAAACACCTGCATTTCATACAAAATCTGTGTTAGAGGAAAGATAACAGATGACAAACTCTGATATGAATATTTTAAAATATTTTTTGAAGATAAATGCTAGTTGAGGTAAAAACACTGCTACCAGCAGCAGAATAAGGTGAAAGTTGTTCCTGGACATAACTTGTGACCATAACTAGTTTCTACTCACATACTTACGTAGAAGAGGGCATCAGAAAATCTCAGTTACTTCAGTAACTCCAGTAACGTGCACTTCAAGTTGCAAATATAGGTAAATGTTGTGAAGTTCAAGCTAATTGGTGTTTTGCTATACCTCAGGAGATATATTTGAAAACTACTGTAGAGATGACAACCTTGCTACATTTGGAAGGTTTTGCTATGGAGTTACTGTAATTCTGACCTTCCCCCTTGAATGTTTTGTGACCAGAGAGGTAAGAATTTATTACATTTTCCTTTTAACACTGTTGTTATATATTAATAATATTCTCACATCATTAATACATATTGTAGCTGAAGTCTATGGTTGATCTGTGGTAAACAGTAGCTTATTTTATCCTGCTACATGCAATGAGTATGGGGCCATATAATGTTGTTTTACATTTATTATAGTATTAGTCAACATTATTTTAATAATTAATAATATCAGGACTGCTTAAAATTCCAAGTTTGGCATAAATGACACTGTTGTTACTGTTTTGAGAATAGCCAAAAATGCATACTTTTCATTCTTAATAGTTTTGCTTTTTAGAAGTATCTCCACATAGGAAATCATTGATTCAATAAATAATTGTAAGTGGATTTATTTTGTAATGGGCAAATGAGAAAAGAGTAAATCCTAAAATCCTATCTGCAATTTTAGTAATGGTAGTTACGTGTTATTTTTGGAAGCAAATTAAGATGTTTTCTTGAAGCAAGGTAAGTAAAATTCAGCCAGTGTATTCTCACCCATTCCTTTAGTTTCCTAAGGTTAGAGGGTTTGGAGTAAGCTGTTGGACAGCATAAGGAGAAAAATCAATGTTTAAAATTTTGGTTCTGTTTCAGGTGATTGCCAATGTGTTTTTCCATGGGAACCTCTCAACAGTTTTCCATGTTGTTGTGACAGTAGTTATTGTTGCTGTGGCGACTGGTATATCGTTAGCGTATGATTGCCTTGGAATAGTTTTAGAGCTGAATGTAAGTGAACCTGTGTACTCTTTTATTTATTAAATCACTTATTAATAACTCAGAACTTTGTAAAATCCACAGCTCTACTGAAAATCTTACGTAATTTGACAGTCAGAAGAAGTGTTAGAAGAAGGAATTCTTGCTTCAAAAACAGATAAAGAAAGGTGAAAGCAATTTCAAGAAGTAAAATTCATATGGTTGTAAAATTCATATGTTTGTGGAGGGTTTAGTTTTGTAGATATGACAAGTGGCTATGACTTACCAAATGTGTTTAAGCCGCAGCAGCAATCACTAAAATACTCATCCAAACTGTATAGTGGTACTGAATTTAGCATTTCTCTCTCTCATCCCTGCTTCTGATGAAGTTGGCAAATTATTAAACACTGGGGCAGATTCTAGTGACTGATTTGTGGCAAAGGGGCAAAAAACAAAGAGGGAGGTAGAAAGAAAAAAATCAGCTATTGCTGAACCACAGAGATGGTCACTGGAAATACACAATTCTCTAAAAAGCAAGAATTTCATCAATTAAGGTTTTTTTTTTCCTAAGCAAATTAGTCAGTAAAGCTGATAGGTTTATTCAGTTACAAATAGAAGTTGTAGCCAGGCATTTGCATGGGTAGCTCCTATATTCTAGGTTTTTTTCCTTTCAAGAGAGAATTTAACAATACAGCTGTGGGTATTTACTGGATGTAATAATTGTTCTCAGAAAGATTGTTCAGTCTTGTTATCAGCATTAGGGAAAAATGAATAGACAGAGTGTTTACTTATGAAAGAAAGGTGGTCTGTCTTTTCAGCTGTCTTTCTGTCCAGCAGAAGAGCTGTCTTTTGGCTCTTCACCACAGATGGCATTTGATATGGTTCATCTGACCCTACTTACTCTTTCCCTGCTTGCTGGTTTTAGAACAAAACATGAGCCGTTATGTTTGCCTGGTGGTAATTCCCCAGGGAAACTATTGAGTCATATGGGAGTCGAAGAGCCACAGAGTTTTCTTTGCTATTCTTTTACTGGGATGCTGGTTTGTGTTACTTCACAGACCTAAATCTTAATTTTCATGGAGAAGATACTTTGTGCTTATACCTATTTCTGATGTCTATATTTATCACTGTTAACAGGTTCTACCATACAAATATTGGGACTTTTGTACAAATGATGATGTAAAGTTATTAGTTAGGCTGGATTACTATCTCACCACCATAATTAAATTGAAACATAGTGTTTGTTAAGTATGAAACAAAATGAATGTTCAAAATTTCTACATATTGCTCCCTTTTGACATGTAACTCATATGCTAATCTGCAGTAGCTTTACTATAAAAAGAATTTTTTTAAGTGTTTTTGTTTGTCCATTTCTAAGAGAGCATTTAAAGAGGAGCTGAGTTTTTAGTGAGAGGAAAGGTTCTACTCTGTCAAAAGGAGCTTTGCTTTCATAGGGAAGTCAACCTAAATCAGGTTATAAATGTCAAAACTGATCAGAATTCTTTGAACTACTACATGATGCTTCCACTTTTCAAAAGATTTTATTCCTTTTAAAAGCAGTGTTATATCTAAACTCTTCCATGGAATTATCTTAAATATTTTAATTCAGTTCCAGTACTGAAGTACTATGTTTGGACTATATCTCTTAAGCTGAGAAACTTTGGGTAATGAGATTTAATGCTTCTTGCAATGTTAAAATGTTATTCTGTATTGGCAAAGCAAAAGCATTTCAATGAATCTGAATTATTTGAAATAGTTTAACAGATATTTTTGAATATTATTTGGGACTTTGAAAGAAAGGTTTTCTGTACAGCAACATGTGAGAAGGCCTTTATCATCTGTTTTTACAGTTGCATCAGTCTAATCACAACTGTTTAAAAAGTTCAGGTTTTTGTTCTTCACATGTAAATAAACACGCTTATGAGTTTTTTTCTATTGCTCTTTCCCACACACAGGGAGTTCTGAGTGCTACCCCACTTGTTTTTATCATCCCATCAGCGTGTTATCTAAAGCTGTCCAAGGAGCGGTGGAACCATTCAGATAACCTCATATCCTGCCTGATTCTTGTTCTTGGTGTGCTGGTGATGGCAGTTGGGTTTGTCATGACTGTCTTGCATCCCCAGGAATGTAGCCATGGAAAAGAAATGTTCTACTGCTCCCCTAGTAATGTTTCTTTACACAACAGCACACTTCCACCATAGCACACATAGGCAGCACACCAACCTCCAGACTAGCTCAGGCACATCTCACAGTGAGCCATACATGTCAGTTTAAAGGAGAGTGGAACAAAGACTTTTCATGTTTTAAGATGCACTAAGAATTTTAAACTTTAAAATTGTATTTACATACTTGATTTTATGCTGCCATCCTTTTTCAGGTAAGAGTTCAGTTTTAACTGTTGAAACACAAAATCTCAAAGGTGCCTTTCAGTAGACATTACTTGAATAACTTGCAACCCTACCAAAAATATTGCATTTTTTTAACTTAGTCTTCAATGCTGTTTAAAAGCTATAAATTAAATATTTTGGAATATAAAGCTTTTCCATGTTTCATTGATTTAACTTAGCTTTTATTAATTTTACAATCCTTCATGTATATTTATTAGCACATTATAGTAGGGAGCCTTTTGAAGTCCTGAAAAAAAGTGTGTCTGAATCTGTATCACAATTCTGCTATTAAATACAAACATCCTTTTAAATTCTGTCTTTGATTTTGCAGTAATTGTCCTTTAGTGCTGAAAGCTTCCCTTTTACAGGATCTTTAGTCAAAGGAAATTTTGTATTCTGACTGAATTGTAACTGTAAAAGATACCACACGAATAAATCCACAAGAGTGGACTTAAAAAGATTCAACTAGGCAGTCTTTGTAAAAATTTCAAGATTGACAAAGAAGGAAATTACATTACAGTTCAATTCTTATATTTATAATGCTATTCATTATTTCTGAAACTTAATTGAAACTAACATTCTAAACCTGATTATCATTCTAGTCCTCTGCTTCTTTTCAGGATATGACTAATGATTTTGTCATGGTTTGTCAAATTTTGGTGATTTGTTATGTTTTCCAAAATTCATTTAACATCAAGGATTCATGTATATGTATGTATGTGTATAAATATACATATATACATAAGTATATATAAAAACAGACTCACGTGCCTATAGAATAGGACTAATTTTAGGTTGAGTAATATGAGTATCCTTAGTCAAATCAATGCTGTCATTCTGAAAATGTTTTGTTACCAAATCAAAATGTGTACTTGGGTTAATTTTGGCATTCTTGTGATCCTTGTGGTTTCCCATTCCAGCTAGATGCATGATGCTACTTCATTTTTACGCTGCTTAATGGGGATGGGTTTTGTTTTCATCTTGCATGATGCATTCAAGACTTCTGGCTAAACAGAATTGTAAGCAAGGGTCACTAGATAGTGATAATACCTGTAAGAATAACACTCTTCTTAAAAGTAGTGCTTCCAAAATAAATGCTTTAAATATTACTGGGGTTTTTGGTTGTTTCTTTGGCTGTTTGTTTTTTAAGTTGTAAAGCCATTAGAGAGGAGTGTGGGTATTATTCTGCTTTCATTTCTCAACATAGTGTCAACTTTGAGGGTGATAATTTATTTGTTCTTCAGGTGCCTGATACTGTTCGCAGAGAATATTTCTCAACAATTTAGATTCAGTAATAGCCGATTTTTTTCTTGGCTGTGGGTGAATTGTTACTGAATAGATTCACTTTCTTCTATGCCAGATGGGTTAAACCCAAATAATATTTCCTTGTGACAGATACTGAGATCTTTTTGATCAATCATAATTCTTTCATGAGCTTTGTTGGGTTTTTTTCTTATTTATTTTTTAACTTTCTGTGCTTTTCTACTTTGTAAATTAAAATGTAAAGAATTTTTTTTCACCATTTTTTTTAATTCTTGAAGTATAAAGTCTGAAATAGTAATGGTCAGTTAAAAGTTTTCATTGCTGCTAAAGCTTCTCTTGCTCTTGGAAGTTTCTTTTGCCAAAACTAATTGAATTCATGTAATCATATGCTCAGTGGTTTTCATTTGTGAATTTCACAGGTGATGATGGGGCTGTCCCAGCCATAAGTATATTGAAAATAGGAAGTTGGGTGTCACGGACACAAGAATTTAAAGTTAACTGCTATTTGTCTAATAACTTTATAAAACCTATGGTCCCTTCCTTTCTAATATTACATAGGGCAATCTACCTTTATTGAAATGACAAGTGATAGCAATCTGGTAAATCCTTTCTTAGAACCTAGGAGGTCCAAATACAGAAAGATAATACACCATAACAAAAGTTGTGATAACCATCGGTTTTTGTAAACAGTTAAGACTCCCCAAAACAAGACTGTAAAATCTATTAGGAACCTCTCACTGACATGAGCATGTGCAGGATCTCACCACAGTCTTGGTACTTCAAGCAGGAGTGTGTTGGGAATAGCAATATCCCCAGCTTCAAATGCTCAGTGGTGACAGAACTTCACAGAGGCAGAAGAATGTTCCACAAGCACTTGCTGGCAGGATTTTCACATCAAAAGCTGGTAGTGTGACTCACTATTTCTCCAAGTTCCTCTCTCCAGCTGAGAAGGCATTTCAGGACACCAGATGTACAATTACCATTCTCACAGTAGCTAAGCTGACAGTTTATGGCTTTCTAGAGCAGAGTGCTTCTTACCAATCACAGAATTCTGAGCATTCACAAAATACTTTCTCCTGAAAGTTTGTCAGATGACCAAACCCCATATACTGCCTGAGACTTCCTGGAAAATTTTCCCTCCTCCTCAGGTTTCTCTCCGGAGGTGAGCAAAATGGTTCAAGTTTGCTAAGTAGACATATTTCTATATATTTTTCACATGCAAAATCTTTATATCTCATATAACATACATACATTATGTATATTTTCTGCCTCTGATGGGGAAGGATATTTATTTACTAAATACACTATTTTGTTTTTGTGATTCACTGGAGAACAAAACTTTAAAAGTAGTGTAAGGATTTATTTGGAGTCTGATGGGAAAATGGGGTAAAAGGTAGAATGTCTACTCTGAAATCCACTGCAACCATGCCTAAAAGGGCAGGGAAATGCAGAAAGATGCAAGGAAACTTGAAACAAATCTTTCACTTTGGCAGCTTCTGTTGCTATTAAACACCAGGTGAACCAGGAAATAAATATAAGCATTCAAAATGCAATAGAAAATAGAAATAATAGATAGGAGTACTATTTCCTCTAATACACACATAATATGTAAAAGTTAAGAAGTCTGGACTTCTTGGAGCAGAATTTTTTCTAAAAGATTTTCTGAGGTCTGTTGCATGCTGCTTTATATTATTAATTACTGGTAGTCTCTTCCCACCTTCTTTTATTAAGAGTGCAGTTCTTCCTTAGGTGAATAGTCCATTGTAATTTTTCTCCCTTGGAAGACTGTGAGACTTATAGAGCCCTTCCAAAAGGGCTTGCATCTTGGAACTAAAGCAGCATGCAACAAGAAAAACATCCTGAAATTTTAGTAGGACATCAAAAGAGGAGACTCCTCGAAATGAGTAAGAAACTTTGTTGAAAACTTGCAAGCACCATCAGCTGATGATTTAGGCTTTCAAAACTAGAGCAAAAAAAACCTCCAGCATTGTTCTTGTTGTTCTTTAGTTAGATGTTAACTGGGAATTCAAGAATATGTTTGTAACTTCAGGCATTTTAAACTTCCAAATACATCCCCTCTATAGACATTCATAATTATTTGGTTGTTGTTTTAGAAGTAGACCAGCAGATGGTGCTCGAAAATTAGTTGCATCAGAACTGAGTGGTGCATTTTCAGTTCATTTTTGTTTGTTTTTATTTGTTTGGGTTTGGTTTTGTTGTTTACAGAACAGTTATTACACACATTTCTTCATTAAATGAAACTATGAATAAGGATGGAAGAACAGAATACCCAACAGTTTGTGGAATTCTGTCTCTGTGTCCTTACTGGGTCTTTTTCCTAGCAATAATTTTTGGGTTTAAGTTTTATTATATTACTTAATCTCTGTTCAAATAGTAATAGCTTTATCTTTAACCTCTGTATCTTCTCTGAGATGCTTTGTCTTGTAGATTTAAGCATAAATATAATAATATTTAGAGGATTGATTGTAGATGCAGATGATGGTTATTAACTTTTTTTAAAAATCCAGAAAAATTCTCTGCTTGAACTGAAGTTTAGCTTCAATAATACACAGTAATCTTAAGGGCCTTGGGAATTTTACACACAGTCCGTTAAATATAAAAACTTCTGCAAATCAGAAAATCCAGTGTTAATGTTGTATTAAGAAAACAAGCATTGGCCTGTGTTAAAATGCAGTAATTTCAACATACTCTACCACCCTGCTAACTCTCAGTCTATGGCTGTGACAACCTGTTGACATGCTATATTGCAGATTCTGTGAATGGTATGCCCAGGTACTTTGAAACTTGGCAGCTTTACAGTCCATACTTTCTTGGATATTTCATGCGCAGACACCTTGATAAATTCCCACTTCAGTTTATGTTAGAGTGTGAAGATGAACCTAACTTGGGAGCTGTGTAAGCCCCACCCAGGGTATAGAGTCTATTTTTAACTAAATGTATTGGCAAGTTAATGAAGTTAATGAAGATGTTTTGTTTGAACAGTAAAAGCTTTACATTGGCAGCAGCTGCCTTGAGCTTTAGTGGAATGGAGAGAGAGATTTGGTGAAAAATAAAAGAAGTGACAAGTGGTGTAGTGGTGGTGGCACTTTGTGCAGAAGGGATGAATTAGATTGCTCTTTGGCAGAACAGCCCTGTTGTTGCATGTACTGTGCTAACTTGCATATCAGTGGAGACAGCTACAGAATTCACTATTAATAGAAGAAGTCTCTGACAAGTAATGAAGTTTGGGCTTCATAATCTCCAAGAAAATGTAAGTAATGTGCATTACACTGGAGACTGGGAAGTAGAAATTTTATGTGGGCACACATAAAAAATTAAAACCACCTGTGCATTCTTTGGAAAGCAGAACATGCAGCTTAGAAACAAGAAAAACTTGCAAAACAACATGCAAATGAAACAAGGTACTAGTCTTTGTCTCTTGCTGCTAAGCCTATTGTCATAGACTTAATCTTAAAATAATCTTTCCATTAGTGTTTCAACAAATTTGTCAGGGGAGAAAAAGTAAAGATTTATCTGTTCTCTTAGATTGCACATAAAAGGTGGGACCTTAATATGAGACCTTCAAAAGAGGATTTTCAAGTAATCACAGCTTTCATAGTTGATCTGCACTCACCTTGGTGAGCATCCATGAGAAGTATGTTTCTGTTAGTTATTCTGATGTCAGCTACAGAAACTGCTGCATTTCCAGAAAAAAAAATAAATTGTTGAAATGTAAATCAGGATTCAATTCAGAACTGTGTACACATACATACAATGTGATTTTCGTGGAACTTAAATGTATGACTCAAGACATTTGATAAACTGAGAATGAATCACACTACCCAGAAAGTACAAAGCAGTGTCCATGGACTTGACTGGTAAGCTGTAAGAAAAGTATTTTTGTAACTGCCATGTCACAATAATCCTATTTGGAAGTTACATATGCTATGACATGTCTTTGAACTCAAAGCTGATCAAATGGTTTTCTATTCCTCAGTTCTTATTCTACTGGCAGCTGAGGCTCCTGTATGTAGTATACCAGCCTTTGCTT